TTTTAATATATCTTTATTGATTTCAGAGAGAGGAAGGGAGAGGGAGAGAGAGAGAGAGAAACATCAATGATGAGAGAGTCATTGATCAGCTGCAGGCCGCAACCCGGGCATGTGCCCTGACTGGGAATCAAACCCTGATCGCCTGGATCCTAGGTCGTCGCTCAACCGCTGAGCTACGCCGGGCTGGGCTCCTTTGCATCTTTACTGACCAATCAGAGCAGCTCAATAACAACCAATCAAAACTCGAGATTCCAAACAACCAGAACACTACTATTTGAACCAATCAAATAGCAAATTTGGGTTTCTCATTTGCATAAAAATGGACCAATCTAGAACTAGGGCAAGCACATTCTCTATATAAGCCAGCCTCCCCTTTGTGGTAGAGGGGAACTTTGGATTTCCACTGGTAGCTGTGTTTCCCTGGTTTGCAAACTGTTCACCTGAATAAAGTTTCTCCTTTTACAAACCCCAGACAGGGACACCTATTAGCATTAGAGTGGCGGCTGCAGTCTTTTATTGACAGGTTGATGGAGGAAAGGTAGCAGCCGGCCCAAGTTGCAATTAGATACCAGAGCACTGGGAGCAAAACAATGCAAAGATGATCCTATTGTGCAGCTTTACAAGCCGACATGCAAGAAGTAATGTGTTCTTTATCTGTCCTAACTTTTCTTCTCCATTCATTTCTCCTTTAAAAGTTGTAATGTTCTCAACTTTCCGGAATATCTATTAGGTGAAGCATTTGGCTGGTTGAATAGAAGGAACATAAGGCTTTAGTGAATACAGTAGGGAAATAGTTTAAATAGTTACACGACTGTGAGGCATTGGACAACTAACCAAATTCTTATTTCTTAAAAACAATTATTTTTATCATGATTATCCATAAATAACTGTAAGATTCTTATTTGAAACAGTCTTCTGTAAGTTTGTAGTAAATAGGAATTGTGTCTCTCTTTACCTGACCTTACAGGGTGCCCAGGATAGCATGGTGCACGTGCTTGTGCTTAATAAGTAGCTTTCAATACTGGTGGTATTTGAAAGGTTATACATTTTAAAGGGTATTTTGTTCCTCTTTTCGTTGGCAGGACCAAGGAGCTTCCTTTTCTAAGACCAGTACTGTTTGAACTCAGTGAAAGTACACTTTGTTCTAGGAGAATTGCCATATGAAAGCCTAGAGTATATAGTGAGTTCTTCCAAGAAGTGGGGAAAAATCACGTTTTAGGACAGTGAATGCTGACTTGGTGCTGAATGAATGATTGTTATGTGCTCTTTTACTCACAGGCTCGCTTCTCATATGTGCGGATGAAATATCTCTTCTTTTCCTGGTTGGTGGTTTTTGTTGGAAGCTGGATTATATATGTGCAATACTCCACCTATACAGAACTATGCAGAGGAAAGGACTGTAAGAAAATAATAGTAAGTATTTTTTATTTCCTGGTATATGGAAAAACCTAGATTGATAGGTTATATTAATAACATTATATTTACTTCTAATATATTTAATAATATTTTCAAAACGTAAAAGTTAATTCAACCTTAGAGTTTTGCTGAACTTCTCAGCATTTTAATATGACAAAGTTAGTAGGACAGTTCCCCACTTAGGAAAATCTAATATTCAGAAGTCCAAATATATAACACAGACTAGTGTGAGAGCATCCTCATTACAAACAGGGTATTTTATTTTTCAAATATACTTGAAGTTTGGTTTACTCTAATCAGATGGGGTTTTTATAATGCTTAGTTTGAAAGTGTTATATACAGGCAATTTTCCCAGAACACATCTTTCAAATAAATGGAGTCATTCTTGAATACCAGAAATTTATCTATAAAGCATATAAGTTTATTTATTATTTAATTTCTATCCTAATGTTTGGCTATATCTCAGGAAGATCGCTCTGTCGGTCTAAGATTTCTAGTAGTAATTATTGGTACCATAGCACTTATATTTTAAATGTTTGAGGATAAGTAAATTTAATTCCTTGTTTTATGGTAATATATTCTGATGTAAATAAAACATTTACCTGAGAATTATATTTTTACTAATAATGATTTTTGGGGTTCCAATTATTATAACTTATTAAGGGTTATATAATTATTGAGTGGTTCCTCTTAACCCAGGCCAGTGGTGCTAAGTGTGTGCATATAGCAGGAGACAAGACATCCTGACCTTACAAACATAGGAGGGAAGAAAATGAGTAATAACAGTGAGGTAAGATAAGCATTACAATAGGAAATGTTACAAGAACATAAGACAGGGAGATCTGAGCTTTCCAAAATTGTAAAAAAATAAAACTCAGTTTTACTCCAGGTACTCTATCAGTCAGGATTTAAAAAAAAAAAAATTATTCCTCAGGAGTATTACAGCCTCTTAACTAGACAAGGGAGGAATTACTAATATAAAAAGTATAAGAAGCAGGGGAGGCCCTGGCCAGGTAGCTCAGTAGTTAGCACATCCTCCCAGTGCACCACAGTTGTGGGTTCCATCCTTGATCAGGGTACAGACAAGAATCAACCGGTGAATACATAAGTTGGTGGGATAAAAGGTTGATGTTTCTCTCTCTCTCTCTCCCCCCTCCCCTTACCTGTCTCTCTCTCAAATTAATAAATAAAATTTTTAAAAAGCAGAGGAATTAATTAACAAAGGAGTGTCCCAAATCAAGGTTCAATCTTATGTCCATTCCAACTGGTCAGTCTAGATCCTTGAGGAATTTTAAGATAGGAGGAACCTCTGGGGTCAGACCATGTAAAGTAACATAAAACTATGAAAGACCCCCACCCCACGCCCATTTTACAAATAAAGAAATGCCACTCAGAGGGAGAAGAATTTGCCTGTGATGGTGGAGCCAGAATTTGATCCTAATTCTGTCTCTATATAAAGCTCATACTCTTTCTGCTACCCCATGTCAGAAAAGGCTGACAAAGAAAGTTAAAGTTTGATAAAGCTAACAAAAAACCGTATGAAACTCACTTTCAATGAAGAAGAAAGAAGCAAAAGTTATATTATCAACTATAATAACATATAAATAACCAATACTATTTGAAATGTTTATTTCCCTTCTTTAGGCCACCTTTCTCAAACTAGGTGCCTGGGGGGCACATTAAAAGACATTTCATGGATAGAAGGTTTCCATCAGGTATATTTGAAAAAAGAGAGTTAAACAAAGGTAAATAGCGGACTTCACTAAGGACTTCTCAAGATCTTTAATATACTAATGTGCACTGTGCATGTCCAGAAAAAGCAAATACTAATGTGTGTTGTGCATCTTGATTAGGGAAAAAGTCTATCCCCAACACAGCCCTCCCAGGAAGACCTATTAACATCACCTGGTGATGTTAGAACTACTGTCCTAACAAATTAAGCGAAAATGAAATAGCTATGTTTTTATCTTACATAAATACAATAACCTTTAAAAATGTAAGGTATATGTTGGTACATGTTGTTATGAGTGAATTATAGTTGAAGTACCTCATTTTTTTCCTTTAATTTTATTTTAATAGGTAAGAAATAGAAGTAAAATATAATTCTAGCATAATAATGTTTATCTTACTAAAAGTTGAAAATGAAAAATTATTCCTTTTCTCTAAGGCTGGTTAAAAAAAAAAGAGTAGTCTCTCTGCATTTGGGAATTATGTTTTTAAAACTTACCAAAACTGGTAGATCAGTAGTACTAAGACAATACTAATACTGCTTAGGAATTGTCTGATTAGAACTAAAAAAAGCAAGCAGAAAAAATATTTTTATTTTATTTTTTATTTTTATTTTTTTGTTGCTTGAGTCATAGTATTTTATTTTTAAAATTTTTTAAATTTTATTTTATTTTTTATTTATTTGTGTGTGTATTTATTTTTGTTTAAAATGTTACAGATGTCCCTTTTTCTCCCCAATGACCCATTCCACCCCTTCCCATCTTCCTCCCCAGTCCCTCTCCACACCATTGTCCATGTCCTTGGGTTGTGCATATACACATATAAATTCTTTGGTTACTCTCTCTCCCTCCACCCACCCGCCCTCCTCCATCCCTCTGAGATTTGTCAGTCTGGTCCATGCTTCCATGTCATTAAATCTATTCTGATCATCAGTTTATTAAGTTCTTTAGATTCCACATATAAGCGAGATCATGTGATGTTTGTCTTTCTCTGCTTGACTTATTTCGCTTCGCATAATATTCTCCAGGTCCATCCATACTGTCCCAAAAGGTATGAGGTCCTTCTTCTTTATAGCTACGTAGTATCCCATGGTGTGAATGTCCCACAGCTTTTTATCTACTCATCTACTGATGGGTACTTGGGCTGTTTCCACATCTTAGCTATTGTAAAGTGCGCTGCTATGAACATCGGGGTACATATATTCTTTCTGATTAGTGTTTCAGGATTCTTAGGATACATTCCTAGGAGTGGAATCACTGGGTCAAAAGGCAGCTCCATTTTTAATTTTTTGAGGAACCTCCACTATGTTTTCCATAGTGGCTGCCCCAGTCTGCATTCCCACCAGCAGTGTACCCGGGTTCCCCTTTCTCCGCACCCTCGCCAGCGCATGTCATTTGTAGATTTGTTGATGGCAGCCATTCTGACAGGTGTGAAGTGATACCTCACTGTGGTTTTAATTTGCATCTTTCTGATGATTAGCAATGTTGAGCCCGAAAAAATATTTTTAAAGTCTAAATGAAAGCTTTTTTAAAACCACATATAAGTGGACCTGTGCAATTTAAATTCATGTTGTTCAAGGATCACCTATAGAGTAGTTCCCACCTTTTGGCTATTGTAAATAATGCTGCTATGAACATTGGTGTGCAAGTACATGTTTGAGTTCCTGCTTTCAGTTCGTTTGGGTGTATACCTAGAAGAGGAATTGCTGAATCATACGGTAATTCTATATTTAACTTTTCAAGGAACTGCCATATTGTCTTCCTAATTCTCTTAAATATGTTTCAATTCTCTATTGAAATTTTATATTGTTTTATTTATTTTCTCTACCTTTTTTCAAGTTTACTTGAACATGAATGTAGTTATTTTAAAATACTTTTTGGATGACTCCATTATCTGGATCATCTGTGGATCTGTTTCTGTTGTCCGTATTTATCTCTTGGTTTTGGTCTTGTCATTTTGTGTTTGGCGTGCCCTGTAGTTTTTTATATATGCCTCCAGATAGTTTCCCTTTCTTCTAGTAGGTAGTTATAATGTTAGCTGATCATCTTAATCCGACCATGGGCTTTTCTGACTGGAGGCTGGGTTGCACCTCTAGCAAAGCCCAGGCTATTTTTGGTTCATCCCCATTGTACAAGCCTAGCCCTCTCGGGATTTTAACTGCGAGCCTGGGAATTCATTGGGGTTTCTCACTCTGGCAAGTTCATAACTCTAGTCTGTATCTCGTGAGACTGCCAAAAAGTCTGCTCTGCTTTTCAAAGGCCCTCCAATGAGATTTTTAGCCTCTGTTCTGTAAAGTCTCAGGACTTGGCAAATATCCCAACAGGATAACTGTCTGTACGCTTGAGGCTCCCTTATTTTCCTATAAAAGCTCGCTGGTTTCTTATCCCCAGCAGCAGCTCTGGTTCTCAGATCTCTGCTCATGCCCAGTATCAGCAAAATCCCCAGGGAAAAAGAGGCTATGAGTCAGCTCACCTCTCTGAGGTTCTTTTAGTTCACTTTTACCCCTGGGGTCCGGCCCTTCAGGGTCTCAGCCTAAAGCATGGTGAGCCAGGACCCAGCCTTGGTAGGGACTGAACTAGATTTTGATCTTCCGTAAGATCGAAATACACAGTCTTATGGAGGGCAATTCAGCCACAAAATCTAGGCTCTTCTTCCTGGGATCTTATTTTCTCCCAGATCTTGATCAAGTACTATCTTGCTAGCTCCTTGAAGTTTTAATGTATACTTTAAAAATATTTTTTTCTGGCCCTGACCGGTGTGGCTCAGTGGGTTGGAGCATCGTCCCGTACACAGAAAGGTTGCAGATTAGATTCCCCGTCAGGGCACTTACCTGGGTTTCGGATCCCATCCCCAGTTGGGGAGCATACAGGAGGCAACCAATTGATATTTTTCTCTCTCTGTCTCCTCTCTTTCTCCCTCTCTCTTCCTCTTCCTCTCTCTCTAAAATTAATAAACATACTCTCAAGGGGGGGTAAAAAAAATTAAAAAGAAAAAGATGCACTTTAGGCTCAGAAAATTTTTTCATCATTTTCACATTTTAGTAAAATTAGCATTAAATTATGCTAGAATCATGTTCTGCTTCCATTTCTTATTAATTAAAGTGAAATTAAAATCTCCAGAGGATTGCTGTGACTGTCCCATTCAGAACTTTGCCTCCAAACTGAGATCGTTGTTTAGGAGTTAGGAATGACAGGCAATCAACAGATGATGATAAACAGTTTACCTGCATTTAAAAATCATAGTCTGCCTGAGCTTACATAGCTTTCTTC